GCCTGCTGGCCCCTGACATGTAAATCCAGACCTCAGATTGAATAATGGTGACTTAAAGGCACCAGATATGAAGGTTTTTCACTGTTTACAGAATTATAGTTGTCTAACCTTGAAACAATTGTAGCCATTTACAATTATGCCACAAAAAGGGGAAAAAATCCTTCTTGACTTTATAATGGTAATCAAATTTCTCTTTGGATCAACAACCTGTACTTATCAATCATATCCTTAAAGGGATACTATAGTCACCAGAACAACTACAGCTTACTGAATTTGTTCTGGGGAGTAGAATCATTCCTTTCAGGCTTTTTGCTGTAAACACTGTCTTTTCAGAGAAAATGCAGTGTTTACATTACAGCTTCACTGTAACTTCACTGGCCACTCCTCAGATGACTGCTAGAGATCCGTCCTGGCTCATGGCTGCCTAAAATGCATCCAAACATTCAGTATCTCCACCCTCTGCATGCAGACACTGAACATTCCTCATAGAGATTCATTGATTCAATTCATCTCTATGAGGAGATGCTGATTGGCCAGGGCTGTGTTTGAATCTGGCTCTGCCCCGATCTGCCTCCTTGTCAGTCTCAGCCAATCCTATGGGGAAGCATTGTGATTGGATCAGGCCACCACTTCTGATGATATCAACAGACTGCTTATTTTTCTGAGGCAAACAGCATGCAGAGTTACAGCTTCAGGCTTGAATACAGTAAGATTTTGCTATATTTATGGAGACATGAGGGGCCCAAGGGAGCTAGATGGTGGTTTTAACACTATAGGGTCAGGAATACATGTTTGTGTTCCTGACCCTCTAGTGATCCTTTAAATATTTTGTTTTTGCAAAAATGAATCAAAGCCGTTTATAAAATATTTATATAATCTGATTATACAAACATTTTGGCTGTGAATTTCACATCTTTTTTTTGTTCTTATTGTAACATCCTTTACCCCTTATTTCCTCTGCTGTAAGTGAAAATGCATTTCTTCCAGTCTCAATGACTGACCTTTTTTTATACATATAAACCACAAACATCTACAAATATATTAAATATCACATATAGTGTAATAAAATCTAAACACTGTATAATAAAAAAGTTGACTATTGCACTCACAAACGCAGGTAGTTAGCAGGCAGGACACATAATCACTGTGTAAGGGACCCATTAGTGTTCCAGCTCCCAATATTCTCGGTAGTACATACATAGGAATAAAGTGACAAATTTAGTGCAAAACTCTAATATTAAAAACAAGAACTTTCATAATATTGCACTCACAAATTTCCAAATGGTTAAAGGGACACTATAGTCACCTGAACAACTACAGCTTAATGTAGTTATTCAGGTGAGATCTATAGCTCCCTGCAGGCAATCTAATGTAAACACTGTATTTTCAGAGAAAATACAGTGTTTACATTGATTGATAGGAATACCTTCAGTGGCCGTCACTCATACGGCCACCAGAGGGACTTCCTATCATGTATGGCCCTAAAAAGGCCATGTACACGTCAGACGTATTAAGATACGTCTGACGTGTGCAGGAGAGAGAAGGCACTGTGCGCGCGCGCATTCTCTCTCCTGCCTGTCTGCAGAGGATAGGGGGCGGGCAAAGACCATGAGCTGAGCTGTCAGTCAGCTCAGCTCACGGCCGCGCACACCGCGCGCATGCGTGGTAGTGTGCTCAGGACTTCATAGGGCGGCATAAATGTGCACAAGGGAGCAATGACGCTTCCAAATGGAAGCGCCTGATTGCTCCCTGCTTGCGCCTGCCTTTTTCGTCATTTTGACGAAATAGGGGGTGCGGCTTCACGAGGCTCCCGGCACTGGAAGGAAGTGAGTAAAACGGGCTGCCTGGAGAGTCCCTTTTATTAAAGGCATATCTACAAAGTAAACTTGTTATAGGATTCATAGCAAGGGAAACTTCTCCTAAGCGGTGTTCCAGATGATAAGGTCAGCATACAGCATTAACAATATAAAAGCCATACAAAATGCAGTCAACACTATGCATTTCGTCCGCTTCCTCAGGAGTATTTCAGTAAATCTGCAACCTGCTGTCCTGATCCTCCTTGATTAACATATCAATCTCAGATTCCAGTGGACAAAACACTTTCTCTCTTAACCTTTTGGGCATTATTGTACTTAAACAAAGTTTTTGGGGTTGGTCTTGTTCTCTATGGCTATAAGCTTTTCATTATCAAGTTAAGCCCATCTTATTGCCCTTTTGCAAGCCCTATTGGCATGCTTGTACTGGTTATTAATGCTATTGCCTTTTTTTTTTTTTTTTAAATGACCCTCTAGCCATGAAAGTCTACCTGACAATTCTCCTGTGGGTACTACCAGGGACATTTTAGCTGCAAGGCAAACAAGGCATTTTCCTTGGGCAGCATTTTCCAGGGGGCGGCAAAAAAAGCTGCCCCCAAATGCCCAGGGCAAATGTCTTGTTAGCCTTGCGGCTAACTGACAAGCCAGACGGGCTGCTGGGTGGGCGGCGCCGCAGAGTGAGGCTGGGAGCCGGAATATGACGTCATAATCCGGCTCCCAGCCTCTCTCTGCGGCACGCGAGGGAGCTGAGCAGAGCACTCAGGGGGAATTGCTCCCTCGCCAGCCGCCCGCCCAGCAGCCCCACTAGACCCCAGAGAGAAAGAGAACCCCCCCCCCAGCCCCACCAGCATTACCAAAGGTAAGGAGGCTGGAGGGGTTAAATAAAAAATGTCAGGACAAAACCAGGATACACCACTGGGTACTACAGGACAGATTCATTGGCTAACCTCTCTGCTAGCTGAACTGAGTAAATTAAAATATGATATTTTACCTGAGAATCAGGCATATAGAGCAGAGCAGGTTGTGGATGAGGTAGAAAAGGACTAATAAAGGGTAGAATAACTGAGCTCATAAATATCCAAATAGAGCTATTTTCTTTAAGCTAAATTTACTATTCTCTCCTCCAAATACATGTAAAGTATTTTGTAAATATATACTAAATGTTCACACTTTTTTTTACTTTCTTTTTTACTGCGTTCTAAATAAAAATGAGAATGTCACTATTTAAGAGCAGTTTGGAATTTTAAGATCCATATTTCATCCTCAGATAAATTTTGATACAATAATAACACTACCAAGTTTTATATATTTGGTTTCTCATTGCAGAGTGTGATGTAATTTACATCAATCTACACACTTCAATCTGTGGCGATTTGCAGAATAGAAAATGCTTGGTATATCAGGAAGTTCCACAAGACGTAAGCTAAATAAATTAGCCTATGCATAGCCAAATGCTTTTTAGTATGGGGAAGCAGAAAATGGTTGGCTATTGTGCATGTTCCAGAGGCCTGCACCATATCCCAGAGGCCCAGCAACATCATATACGCAGTTCCTACATGTATACAAAATATTATAGTCACTGCTCAACTGGTATGGGTTAATTTAGTGAGAAAAGCTGAAAAAAGCAAACAGAGTGCTATAAGAGAAAGACCTGTTCCCTCACCAGGTATATAACAGTCATAGAATGCAAATAATTTCCAAGCAAACCAATGATTTTAGTACAAATAAAGTTTTATTTATTTTAATGTATATTTAATAGGAAAGTGCAAATGTGCAAAACAGAAGTACAAAGAAATGCCATTGAATGTACAAAACTGCATGCATGGTAATAAAGTGCTTAAGACATAACGTGCTTTTACCAAACATCCATATTCATATAGTATACAAAGTATGGAGAGACTATATAATAATGTAAACAATAAACACTTGGGTGCTACTCACAAATGGTACTCCCTCAAATACCAAAACAATCAGTACATACATGAACAGAGAATGCACACCAAAAACCATACAAAATTAATATCTTGGTTTAATAAGCCAATATCTGATTTACAAGTATGATATAAATATAATACAAATAAAGTGATAGTAAACAGGCTAAACAAAAAATCCACAGTAAATATTTACCACAATTCCACAACCTGATAGGGCAGAAACACGAATACAATGAACCCCCCAACCTGTGTATTAGCAGAGTAGGATTAAGATTCCACAGACCCCTAGGCAAGATTCTGGTCTGGAGCCCCCTTTTATTCACCGTACAGGAATGGTGAATGGGGTCAAACAAATTCTAACTCTGAAGCCCTAAGCAGGTGCCCAAGTTTAGTTTATGGTTAATATGTTCTGTAAATAACTATAATGACCAAGACATACATTATACTTCTATGGACTAAGGAATTAGGAGTTTACAAAATGTTACAGTCTAATGGGCATTAATTGTGGATAATTATTGATGTTTAATATCTCCTCTACCAATAATGGTAATGTTCACTTGCCCAAAATTCTCTACGAGAGATCACCGATCTGCCGATTGTTTGATAACTCACAACTGATAGATGGTAATATATCTTTAAGTTCACTATAGTAATTAACTGGACTATTTATGATATTGTTTGGTCAACCCACCTCTACCGATGAATGACAAGGTCTCTTTACATAATTGTTCTGTATAGAGATGACAAAAGATATCTCAAGATAACAATAATTTACAACAAAAAAACATCTAATATTGGATAGATACAGAATATGTTCCAGAACTGAACACTGAAAATAGTTGTTTCTGTTCCCTTGCCTAAAAGTTCTCTATAGAGATTTATTTAGCTGAATATAAATAAATATTGACTTTTAAAACAACAGTCATGCACTGAACTACCTGCAAATATTAAAAACACCAGTGTCAATATATTGTGTTTTACATAAGGATTCTATGCAGAGATTACCAAATATATTCTAACTACTGTAGTAAATTAGTGTTGGATATTAGAGGTGTATATAGCCCCATTACTGGAGGGAGAAGCTGGCTCACAGATACACTTATCCAGCTTTTGGCTTAGTACTGAGAGGGTTGAAGTATGTAGGTAGGGAAGGTATGTTTTGTGTATATGCAGTCATTTCTTCCATTAGTTTGATGTCTTCTTTCCTACTCTGCCATTCTGAAGACAGGATGTAGAGTCAATATTTTGAAATTTATGGTAATGGACGGACAGTTGTGGTTCTTTGTTTCCACCTCTTCCTTATTTGAGACAGGCCACTGACACACTTCTGCAGCAATCCTGGACTGCGTTCCGATGGCCGGGAGGATTGGATGGAAGCTGTAGCTTCTCTCTCTGTGCTACTGTCAGTGTTGGAGAAGCGGCAGCGCAGAGCCCGTATTGCTCGTCTCAGACGGGATCCCCTCTTTCTCTGTTTGTTTCCCTCATTCTCAACTTTGTCGCTGTCGTTTGAGTCACTCAGGTGTTCTACTTCATTCTCATCAGATGTTTCCTTCTCACTCTGAGCTGGTATTTCCTCAGAGTCTTCTTCAACTTTGTTTGTTTCATCTTGAGCCGGCTACCCATTAAACAAAAATAAAAGGTCAGAATGTATTCATTTAAGGAGCCCATTGTGCAATGCTATTCATTAGCACTGATAGAAAGGACTGGGAGCTAATATATATAATGATATCTCTATATAGGGAGGAATATAAAATAGAAAGCTGCTCTATTGTTAACACAAATTACCCTAAGAATGTATTTAGTAAAATATAATATTATAACTGTTCATGCTGTATGTCTATGTTCATGTTATAATTATGAATATGATAATTAAAAAAAAAAAAAAAATTGGGGGGAGGTGGGGAATTTAATTAACATTGCTATGCAAAACTGTCAAAGTACAATGTTGCCTCAGTGTAATTCCTAATAGTTTTTTACAGGTTTGTTGAACATCATAAGGGGGGCAATCATGGAGGTCCCCCTCATTACACTAACATTCAGCACAGGGATTGGGGTTATGGAGAGAGGGCTTTGCAACTGACCTTCTCTCTCTTACCTGCTATTGGATAAGGGACATGGGGGGGCATTGACCAGAGTCTTCTTATTAAACATATTAAAATAAGAAGACTTAGTACTTACACAGATATGCCCAGAGTTATAGCGTTAAGGTCATGCTAAAATTAAAAAATTTTTAAGGCCACCTGTTTAATAAAAATCTTTCTGAGGTTAGTCTCTGGAAGCAGTTTAAGCAGTAATTATTGCAGTTAGCATGTAAATCTCTAATGTTAATAATAGTGTGGGACCCACCGACATTGGGGTACTATGAGCAGAGGCGTATTTTGAAACCACTGGGCCCTGGTGCAACAAATGCCCTGCCCCCAAATCCCCCCCATGTGTCTCAATCCTCTTCCCCCCAACCCCTCTATGTATCTCATCCTCCCACCTCCTGCTCCTTCATATGGCTCAACTTCCCCCCAGGTCCTCTGCGTGTCTTATCCCCCCTTGTGTCTCCACTCCTCTACAGCCCCTTGATCACCATATTTATTTTTGTTCTCTGTTCCTTAATCTATATTTAATAAAAGTAATTTTACTATGATTCACAATGTAATATATATTTACCTGCAATTTGCAGATCTCCATGTCTTGGAGGCAGGATTCTACGCTGTAAAAAGAGAGTGAAGGACAGTAGGGTGTAATTATATGGAAAGGAAAATGTCATAGTGAAAAATATTTTGAAGAAATAAAAGTGTGGAATGTTATGTAAAGATGGGAACAAGTGATGAAGAGAAGAAAAAAGGACATAAAAAGTAATAAAATTATTGAATGAAAAGGGTATTGCATAAAGAATAATCACATTAAGATTTACTGAATAAAACCTTCCTTCCAAGGACAGAGACTTAATAATTGCAGTTGCTATTTATAGTAACCCATACTTTCACAGTCTTTTTAAAAGATCACTGCTTTAACCTGTGTTAAACAGCTTTAGAAAGATGTAACATATGTGGATGCATGGATGGATGGATGGATGCATGCATGGATGGATAGATAGATAGATAGATAGATAGATAGAAACTGTTACCCCCTTCCCCTGCTTGTCACTGTCAGTCAAACTCACTACCCACTGTTACCCCTCCCCCGCCAGTCCCTCTCAAGATAGATAGATGATAGATAGATAGATAGATAGATAGACATGTATTATTTTAAGTATTTAATTTATTATCTATTTATTGGCAGACCTGGAATGCCACGATCGATACTAGATCTTTTGTTCATACAGAAATCAGGCCATTTTTAGTCCGTTCATGGCATATACATGGTATATCTCTCTTTGAAAGTTTTTTATACGATTTATGAATTTAATTAACCCTTTTACTCCCACATTAATATCAACTTTCCCAACATTTCCAAGCAACCTTTTCAATTAGCAAAGAAAATAACGTACTATGAACTTTGTGAGAAGTGTGTGAGATGAGCCATGGTGATGAAGGGATGGCTGAGAAGGTCTATGGGATTAATCCTCTTCTCTGGTTCTATAGCAAGCATCTCTTTAATGAGATCAAGACATTGCCATGCATCACTCATCTCCACCATTGTGCAACAGATATCTGCCTCTGACAGTGCATATGTCTGAAGAGAGAGAAAAATTGTGTGAGATATGTTAGTGAGGTTTGTTAGCATAAAAACATGTAATCACAAAAAAATGTAACTTTTTTTTTGTATCACAGAGCCACCATTAATGGCAGTAAGTACAGTACTCTCTACCTCCTAATTTCTATAGTGTTTGGTTGGCTTCCTGGTAAATAGCCACCATGCCATTGGAAAAACTGTTTGTGGTTATTGACCGATCTTCAGACTCGAGTTACAAAATAGATATCTGAAGACAACATAGGGGTTTGAAAAATAAGATAGGGGTTTTAATTTTTTATAAGATTTTGGAATCAAACAGCTACATTTTAAAAATAAACATGTAAAAAAAGAGGGAAACAGTAATTATATTAAACTACAACAAAATGTAAGTACATATGAACCATGCACATATATTTTTGTGTCCTCATGCTGTTGCTCTTCAAACCCAACGTTAAGCACAAAGAGATTGCTCCACCATCTCCTCTGTGCATGATCAACCAGGCTGTTTTAAAGTATTTTTTCAGGATATCCAGAATATCTTAGAGAATATAACATGGGTTAGGGCAGGCTGCCATATAAACTTCTATTTTAGGTGAATGAGAGAGCCCTGGAAATACAGTACCTTTGCCAAGTCATCAAGACAACTGAAGATATTTTGCCTTCTTTCTATTGGCTTAATACCAGTCTCACGTTCGTAGCGGTCTTTAGACTAGAGGAAAACAAAAAGATTCTCCATTAGTTTCTAGAAGGAGAAACTCATTCACTGTAGCATTTTCCAGTGTCCCAATGAGTTTCCTGATAATGTAAGGATGGAACCAATAAACATTTCTTGCAATTAACTTATCCATTAGCTGTCCTGAGTCTGAATAGTTTGGTCTTTTTTTTATTATTACCATTTAGTTGTGAAAATTTATTTTTTAATTGGCTGCAAAGCTGACGGATAAAGGGGGTTACTAGTTAAAACTCTTTACAGAGGAACAGTTATCTATGATTTATCACATCTACACTTCCAAATTACTGAATATTAGTGTGTAAAACTTCACTTTAATAAGATAAACGAACTAGGAATCTTGGAATGTCGCTTTACCCACTCCATGGTAAATCATGTGCTTGGACTGTCATAATATTGTAGGACTTGCAGAACCTTTTGTCCTGTATTTAATTTTATATACATATGGTTGATATATAAGGTCTCACCTTCAATTTCCATGGTGAATGCTGGTAATGTCTGTGTCTTTTAAAGAACAGATGGGTCTTTTTTGCCCTGTTGAGCATGTATTCATCGGGCAAACCCTGGGTCTCAGAGATGTAGCGGATCTGCAGGGAGAAAGAAAGCGAACATAAAATTTAATGTATCCACATTAAAACTGTAACTTATCCATAATCTCCAGCTTCTCTTCTGTCTGAACTATACAAACAAAAACAGTGATATTAAGTAGACTTGAGTGCTGCCTAAATTTTCAAAACATTTTGTCTAGTCCAAATTGCATTTAGTCCGTTTGTTAATTTCTTTTCGGTCGAATTTCAGACATTAATTTAGATTACGCAATAAAAATGGAGGGTGGAGCTATTGATCCATCCCAGCCCCCACCCATTGACTGCAAATTTGGTCTAATAGTAAATAATTACTAAGTAATAATTCCACTATCCCTGTGATTACGGGACCCAAGCCCCAATAACAAAATACTTTACCTAACCACCTCAACCTAATAATAGTTAGGGGGAGGGGGCAATGAACTTAATATGTGGAAAATAAAAAAGTAATACTTACCATTAGATGTCAAGTTTGGACTTTTGCCTAACTTTAGCAATTAAAATACGAAAAAGGAACAAGTGGATATAAAGGCGCTAATAATAATTGTCCTCTAATTAAATTTATAGCACGTGACAAAATATTAGTGAAAAAAGCGCCCTAAATAGTGTAACAGCTCATAAGAACACACAATAAATACAAGAAATCTATATAGGTGCGCTATGTCTTTAAGACAAAACTCTGAGACTCCTGCATACACTGTCTGTGTCTACGATGCTAGTTGCTTGAAAGATACTGCTAAGTAGATGAAGGTCTTACTTGCTATTGCTTCCCATAGATCATGCTCAAGAGGTTACTTTTATAATTCTTATTCCCCCACTAAATAAGTGCTTAAAAATCATAATAGTGCTACATGCTGAAAAATCGTGCTGTGCTAAATAGTGAAACCAACGCGCGTTTCGGCGCTACTTGAGCGCCTTCAACCAGGGCAGGTTTTATCTATAGGAAAATATCCACCATATTAGTTGGGAATAGGAGCTTTGATTTAATTTATGTACACTGATTTCAGTACTCAATTGATAATGTATCCTGTCCCTTACCTTTTCCTTGTTATTACTTTTTCCTCCTGGGTGGTCCACTATAGAGTTTATATCTCTTTATAGCTCTTTTTAATTGTGTTATATGTCTCCCTTGCAGTTTAGTAATACAATTTACTTCATTATATGTTTTATGAAGTTTATCCAAAAAGGAACCATTTCTGTGTGCCCACTATGACTCTGTCCCTTGGACATACACTTTCTCTCTATGATTAAAATTTAGGGTTACCCCCTGTCTAGGTTTGCTTGTACACACCACAGTCCCTTTGTGGGACACTCTGTGTTTTTTTAGCAGAATGCCATGTAGCAGCTTTATCCAGAATCCCCCCTTTATACAATGCTGCAGTTCAGGTGGTATATTTAAAAGAGTTTTTTAAAATTATTTGCATATGGATGTCATCACGCTCGACCACGCACGAACGTACATTAGTACACATTGCACGCCTGCAGACTTGCAACTCCGCTCCCGGGAAGTCTTTTGATTGCGGCACACTCGGTTAACTTAGTGAAAGAAGCCAGCTTTTTACTCTTGGAACTTGAACTGCTACATTGTATGAAGGGGGAATTCTGGATAAAGCTGCTAAATGGTATTCTGTGCAATCAATCTGTGATGTGGATCGACTGTTTTAGCCATTTTTTACCCCAGGATGGAATATTTGGAGCTGTCATAGTCAGAGCAGGCTCTTCTGCTCTACATTTGTGAGTGTGTATTTTATCTATTATATTTGGCTTTTGGTTATATAGATTTACACCATTTGTATTTGTTTTCCTCCTTTTTTATGATACATGGAGATGACCAGCATATGCATTTTTATGTGAGTGTTTTGTGTATTTTTATCACAGTTTTGTACATATGTGCCCAATATATGTGTTAAGAAATTTCATGCACTATAATGCAAATCACACTTTTGCACATTAAATCACTTGTTGCACTTTAAAATAATTTTGTCTTAAAGGACCACTCTAGGCACCCAGACCACTTCAGCTTAATGAAGTGGTCTGGGTGCCAGGTCCCTCTAGGATTAACCCTTTTCTTTTTTTTTATAAATATAGCAGTTTCAGAGAAACTGCTATGTTTATAAAAAGGTTAAACCAGCCTCTAAAGCCTCTAGTGGCTGTCTCATTGACTGCCGCTAGAGGCGCTTGCGTGCTTCTCACTGTGAAAATCACAGTGAGAAGACGCCAGCGTCCATAGGAAAACATTATGAATGCTTTCCTATGAGACTGGCTGAATGCGCGCGCAGCTCCTAAAGCGCATGCGCATTCAGCCGAAGAGGAGGATTGGAGGCGGAGAGGAGGAGGAGAGCTCCCCGCCCGGCGCTGGAAAAAAGGTAAGTTTAACCCCTTTCCTTGCCATCCAGCCCGGCGGGAGTGGGACCCTGAGGGTGGGGGCACCCTCAGAGCACTATAGTGCCAGGAAAACAAGTATGTTTTCCTGGCACTATAGTGGTCCTTTAACCCCTTAAGGACACATGACGTGTGATATGTCATGATTCCCTTTTATTCCAGAAGTTTGGTCCTTAAGGGGTTAAAGACACAGCTCACCTATATAGATTTTTTTAATTTTAACAATTGTATATCTTTAAGTCACTACAATTCCTTGTTTAGTGAAAACATCTATTTAATTTAAAATGAAAATGACCATTTTATTTTACATTGCAATTTGACTCCTGTCTATACAATCAAATAAAACAGCTACACAATGCCTTTCTATGTGAATTCAGTCTGGATTCTGATTGAGACGTTAACATACAATTAGACATAAATATGTATTGGATTTTCACTCACCTGATCATACTCAGATGCTCCGGGATATAAAACATATCCTGTGAACAGCTCTGCCATGATGCATCCCAAAGACCACATGTCAATAGCCTCACCGAATGGATATGCCAATATAATTTCTGGAGACCTGCAATTTACAAAAAGGGGAGACATAAGGTTAGGACATGTCACTTGGGGAAACTGGGTATAAAACATGCCCACTGTAAGAGCACTGTGTGTAGACATAGTTGGCTGATAAACTCCTCCAGAAGCCATAAACTGGTTTAATAATGCCACTAAACATTTCATAAAAACAGATAAATCACTAATGTCACTAAATATTTCATAAAAACTGAAAAAAAAATTATGTGATCTGATTAAACGAACACTATAGGGTCAGGAGCACAATCTTGTATTCCTGAAAAGGTAGTGTTTACAGCAAAACCCCTGCTGGAACAGGCTATAGACACCAGAACAACTATAATAAGCTGTAGTAGTTGTAGTGACTGTAGTGTCCCTTTAACATTATTCTTTATATTAATTTCATAAAAGTAGAGAATATCAATGCACTAACAATCTCATTTAAGCTTACCTATAACATCTTGCTTGTATATAACTCGAACACCGAGCCTCGGACACATGTAATGCACAGCCAAAGTCTATCACCTTGACCTTTAATGGGTGTGTGATATTGTCCACCAGCATGATGTTGTCTGGCTTCAAGTCTGAATGGATTATTCCAAGACTCTTGAGCTTTGCCAGTGCAATGCCCACCTGTGCCACGATAGGGCGGATCATTCTCACAGGAAACGAGCCACCAATGGATTCCATGTAGTCAAAGAGACTCATATGTAGCATCTCAAACACAAGGCAGATGATATTGTTGTACAGGAAGAACTCATGGGCTTTAATGACATTGAATTCATCTGGGCGTTCCTTGTTCAGCTGGGTCAGGATTTTTATCTCTTCTTGTGCATCTTCAGCGACATACTGGTGGTTCTTTAACATTTTGATGGCCACATTCTCGCTGGTTCCTTTTTTAACACACTTTACAACCTGCCCAAAGGTGCCACTGCCCAAGAGTTCTTGCACTTCATAAGTGTCAGTCTCAGAGTACAGGGCTTTGAGTTCCTCCAATATACTAAGGGGAAAAAAACAGGAACAGATTAATTTTAACCCAATGCTAAGTTTCAGGCACAATATGAAACCATCTAAATGAAGTTTGACATTTTTATCACGTTAAAAATGGAATGATGTTTTCTTAAAACATATTATTTAAATTTATGCAACATCTTGTATTTGTGAAGTTTAATTTGTTTTGTCTGTTAATTTGAATATCCTTCAAATCAGTATGAAATTTCCATGTTATTTAAATATTAAGGTTGATCTTTCACCTCCATATCTTTTAGCGTTGTTGAAAGCGTTTATCAAAATCTACAGTTGTTTTAGAGAAATATGGGATATCCAATAGAGACTATTGGATATCACCTCAGGGGTGTTAAGATCAGTCACCTGTAGGGTAAAACCTGAATGATTAATTATAATACATTGTAGCTATGCCAATCAAATTCCACCAAAGTGGAACTGAATGGAGAGTAGTTTTTTTAGTTAGTAAATTAGCATTACCGTATGTGACGAACTAACCTTCGCCACTGGTTTTTGGAGAGGACTAATGGCCAGCCTTTTGCCCAAAGACTATGGGCCCTGCAAAAATACGAAGACGGCGAGACTCCAGTTAAGCTACGGTGGTTGTGGAGACTGCGGTGGTTGTGGTGTCCAGTGCGGTGCTTATGGTCCTCAGCGTCAGCTAGGAAGCGTCTTTCAATGGAAGTGCCCAGTCGGGGTGCCAGGTGATCCGTTGCACCATAATAAACATATCTCTGATAGCGACCAGCAAGTGGCTAGGTTATAATGTCTAGGTTTATAATAAAAGTAGTGGACACTGGACATTGAATTGAAAACCAACTTTTTAAAGTATCCCCCAGTAATTTTAAACTGTAGATTTGGAGGCATTCACACAGTCACACACTCATTTTGTTACTGGCTGTCTGTCAGGATCCAAACCCTTAATTCAGAACTTTATTCAGAACTTTCATTCAAGTTTGTACCAGCAGTAACTATGTTTTGCCACTAGTGGCCTCCCTAACCAGTAGGTCTGAACGTTCCATCCCTCTACCTCACCATCCTCGGCTAATTACTTATCCTACAAAAGGCTACACCCTGCTCAATACGAAGTTGATGGTTAACCTGAAAAGACTTCTATTCCTGGCTCCTGTGAACTTACGTACTTTATTACCATCCTGTTGAATGCCATCCTTATTTACACTACCAAGCTACTTTATTCCAAGCTGATCTACACAACAAACCTTCTTTGCTACCCAGCTTCTTTATATTCCCCTGAACTACTCTACAAACCAACCTTTGTTACCAACCTGCTTCATACCAACCTGAACTACTCCATCAACCTGCTTTATGATACCAACCTGCTTCATACCAACCTGATCTACGCAACCAACCTGCTTTGATACCAACCTGAACTACGATACTAACCAATACTGCAAAGCGTAATTTACCTGCTTTATCAGTGCTCCTTCCAAAAGGGGGCTGATTCATTAAATTTCTATTTTACTTGCAAATTTGAAACCTTTCCGTTCTGTACTGATTTGCTTGTTTTTTTATATATCCTATACTTTCTGCTACAGGTATTTGCTACTATCTAATTATTTCTTGATAACAACCTGCCTGGGGCATATTGCCTAAACCTATATTTCTATTACTTCACCTACTACCTACTTACCTATAATTCTGTTTATAGGTTCTCTTTCAATCTCATCTATAATTCCGCTTATAGATTTTCCTGCTACCATTTGCCTAACTCTCTTTTCTGTTCTCCATTCTTTACTTACCTCCCTCTTTGCCTTGCTAAGTATACCAATTGTGTGTATGTCTAAAGTCTCCGATAAACAACCAAACGTTAACCCTGGCATAAGTCTCTTACCTGACCTGCTCAAGACGATGACACTGTCATTCAAATTAAAGGACCACTATAGTGCAAGGAAAACAAACTCGTCATTAGGTCCCCCCCACTCTCAGGGCCCCCCTCCCGCTGGGCTGAAGTGGTTAAAACCCCTTCAGCCACTTACCTTTCTCCAGCGCCAGGCTCCCTCGGTGCTGGGGAACTCTCCACCCCCTGCCGATGTCAGGTCCAAATGCGTATGCGCGGCAAGAGCCGCGTGCGCGTTCAAACCGCCCATAGGAAAGCATTACCCAATGCTTTCCTATGGACTTCAAGCATCTTCTCACTATGACTTTCACAGTGACAATCGCGGAAGGGCCTCTAGCGGTTGTCAGTGAGACAGCCACTAGAGGCTGGTTTAACCCTCAGTGAAACATAGCAGGTTCTCTGAAACTGCTATGTTTTCAGCTGCAGGGTTAAAACTAGAGGGACCTGGCACCCAGACCATTTCATTGAGCTGAAGTGGTCTGGGTGCCTCTAGTGGTCCTTTAATTGTATTTAGCTATGAAGTAACTTATTGTGTAGCAATATTATTACTTTAGTTATACAAAAAGCAAACTATTTTTATATAAACCTACAGCAAGTCATTGTGTTGCTCCTCGGGTTCAGACATTTTGGAGTTTTCCTTCATTTTATATGCTGCTTGTCTTTCAAATTGATCCAATGTGGTTATCACTGGAATAACTGTTAATCACTGCTTACTCAGCACTGGATATAACAGATAATGAACCCCAGATACATCATAACTTTACATCATAGTCCCACTTTGCAACTTTTTGTTTGGTCTGTTGCTAGGCAACACCACCTGTGAATTGGAGTACAATGTTCATGCATGGTCAGCTGTCTACAAGCATTGAGAGGTTCTGACGAGCCAACAATACCTTAATATGAACATATATTATATAACATAGCGCACAGAGACACATTTGCCTATGTATTGAAATATTATGTGCACCTGTTTGTATTGTTAGAAGAATTCTTGTATTGCAGGGACAAAATGTATAAAAACAAACTGTATATTTCAAATCACAGAAACCTAGAATATAAAGGCAGATTAGAACCATTCGGCCCATCTAATGTGCCCAATTCTCTAAATAGTTTCATTAGTCCCTGGCCTTATCTTATATCTAGGATAGCCTTATGCCTATCCCACACATGCTTAAACTCCTTTACTGGGTTAACCTCTACCACTTCAGCTGAAATGCTATTCCATGCATCCACTACCCTCTCATTAAAGTAATGCTTCATGATATTATTTTTAAACCTTTGCCCCTCTTGTTGTGGTAGTTTTTCTTCTTTTAAATATAGTCTCCTCCTTTACTGTGTTGCATCCCTTTATGTATTTAAATGTTTCTATCATATCCCCCTGTCTCGTCTTTCCTCCAAGCTATACATGTTAAGTTCCTTTAACCTTTCCTGGTAAGTTTTATCCTGCAATCCATGAACCAGTTTAGTAGCCCTTCTCTGAACTCTCTCTAAAGTATCAATATCCTTCTGGAGATACGTTCTCCAGTACTGTGTACAATACTCCAAGTGAGGTCTCACCAGTGTTCTGTACAATGGCATGAGCACTTCCCTCTTTCTACTGCTAATACCTCTCCCTATACAACCAAGCATTCTGCTAGCATTTCCTGCTATTACATTGTCTGCCTACCTTTAAGTCATCTGAAATAATTACTCCTAAATCCCTTTCCCCAGATGTTGAGGTTAGTAGTTTATCAAACATTCTGTACTCTGACCTTGGCTTTTTACACCCAAGATGCATTATTTTGCACTTGTCCACATTAAATATCAGTTGCCACAGCTATGACCATTTTTCTAATTTACCATTTGGCTTATTCCTTCTCGACCGTCAGCCCTGTTACAAATATTAGTATTATTAGCAAAAATACATACCTTACCATCAACACCTTCTGCAAGATCACTAATAAAAAATATTAAAAATACATTTAAAAAATCAAAGCTATATTCTGTTTAGTTGCTATTGTAAAAATGGGAAATTCAACTCAAAATTAGATAATAGTCAGTGACCAAAATAGTTAAATTATGCTTAACTATTGATTGTATCTTAAAAGAAACCAAAAACATCCCCAATGTTAAAAAACCCTCTTAGCACCAAAACACATAATCATTTAGAAGTAGTTTTGGTACATAGAGCCTATCCCTATTATCAATACTGAAAGTCTTTACATTTAATGTCATCACACATACTTCCTCATTAGCCATGGCAGCACAGAGATGATGGGCTGCCGGGACTCTCGTTTAGCATTAAAACATAAAAACTGTTTAATGCTGAATAAAATGACGGTACCAAGGGACTCCAGACACTATAACCACTTTAATGAGATGAAGCAGACACAGTGCCTACAGTGTCCCTTTAATGCTTCTCCAATAGAAGCATTTGATTGTCAGAGCACAGAGCCACCCATGCCTATTTCTCCTCAATGCTTCTAATTACTGATGAGTTCACAGGAGGTCAAGTGACTGCACCAATGAGACTGACCTGGTGCTGCATTACAGCTAACTTATAGATATGGTTTTACTTATTTTTTTAAACCGAGGTGGGACTGAATCTGAACACTAACAAGCACAATATGTGCTGGATTCTCTTAACAGAGTAACGGTTTATTCTGCTTACTGAGTAACAATGTTCCACTAGTCTTCAAAGGAGAAATTACTATTCACTAAGCAGTGTAAACCCTTACTCTTGTGTGAGAATATAGTACAATAATGTTAAACTCAAATACCTTTATTTAATGTCAGATTGTTCTTTTTAGTTGAAACATAAATTTTGTGTTATACGATATCTTCCCCATAATGCATTAACAGCTCCTTCTGTTCTACAAAAGCATAATTAAAGGATCACTATACGGTCAGAAACACAAACATGTATTCCTGTCCCTATAGTGCTTATCCCACCATTTAGGTGGCTTGCAACCCCTTAGCCCCCCTATAAAAGTTTAAAACTCACTGCCCCCTTTGTGACATCATCAAAATGGCTGATCCATAGGGAAAGCATTGGTTTGGCTAAAATTGGCACAGGGGCAGGACCAAATGCAGTTTTGGCCAATCTGGACTTTCTCATTGGAAAAAACCAAATAAGATAAAACAAAAAAAATATTGACAGACTTACAGTGCCTTGCAAAAGTATTCAAGCCCCCTTGATTTTTTTTACCTATTTTGTTACATTACAGCCTTAAGCTCAATGTTTTATTAATCTGAATTGTATGTGATGGATCAGAACACAATAGTCTAAGTTGGTGAAGTGAAATGAGAAATATATATACATAAAAACTATTTTTTAGAAATAGAAAACAGAAAATTGGCATGTGCGTATGTATTCACCCCCTTTGTTATGAAGCCCATAAAAAGCTCTGGTGCAACCAATTACCTTGAGAAGTCACATAATTAGTGAAATAATGTCCACCTGTGTGCAATCTAAGTGTCACGTGATCTGTCATTACATATACACACCTTTTTTGAAAGGCCCCAGAGGCTGCAACTCCTAAGCAAGAGGCACCACTAATTAGGTGTGAGGCACCACTCTGTGCGTGATTTGAAGCTAGGATGGACGTTCACCTTCCAGCAGGACAATGACCCCAAACACACTGCTAAAGCAACACTTGAGTGGTATAAGGGGAAACATGTAAATGTGTTGGAATGGCCTAGTCAAAGCCCAGACCTCAATCCAATAGAAAATCTGTGGTCAGACTTAAAGATTGCTGTTCACAAGCGCAAACCATCCAACTTGAAGGAGCTGGAGGAATGGGCAAAAATCCCAGTGGTAAGATGTGGCAAGCTCATAGAGACTGATCCAAAGCGACTTGGAGCTGTGATTGACGCAAAAGGTGGCTCTACAAAGTATTGACTTTAGGGGGGTGAATAGTTATGCACATTGACCTTTTCTGTTATTTTGTCCTATTTGTTATTTGCTTCACAATAAAAAAAAAAAAAAAAATCTTCAAAGTTGGGGGCATGTTCTGTAAATTAAATTATGCAAATTCTCAAACAATCCATGTTTATTCCAGGTTGTGAGGCAACAAAACACAAAAAAATGCCAAGGGGTGTGAATACTTTTGCAAGGCACTGTATCAGCTATGGTGATATATTTTAGGGGAAAAAAATATTAAAATAATTTACTAATCATAACATTCTGCAGGAATCGTTTTCAAAGCCATCCCCTCAGGGAGTGAGTACTGTTTTGGGGTTATTTAGGTTTACAGATGCAATTATCTTTCTTTTTTGTTGTTGTTTTGTTTTTCATAAGTGGAATTGGATCTGACCTGAATCTATGCTGATTTTAAAAATGCACATTTACATAGAGGCTCTGATAATTTAACAGCTAAGCAAATGGCAGCCTGTTATTAATGTAAATAATGCTTAGCTATATTGCAGTTAAACCCATGCATTTACAGTAAAATGAAATTCAGCAACTGGTTGGTATTTACTGAATAGACCTCATACTAAGTTTATTTTAAACATTGGATAATCAATAAACATAATACATATCAACACTGAAAACGTTTGCTTAATTGTAAAATTGTAAAAAAAAAAAAAAAATCATTTCAATTTGTAAATTTAGCATTAAAATAATTCTTATAGCTCTTGTACCAGTATCCAGTAAGGTTCATGGGATAAAGTTAAATATGGGATATTGAAATAATAAACAACTTAACAAAATATCAACCAGTCATCCTAATCTGTTACATTATATCTAACTGAACTGCCATACAAATAATTACTATGTGATTTACCTTCTAACAATGATTACATTATTAATAAATATATATATATCTAAAATAAACTATTTTCATAAAAACCTACAGCAAGTCATTGTGTTGCTCCTCGGGTTCAGACATTTTGGAGTTATTCTCCATTTTAAATACTGCTTGTCTTTCAAATTGATCCAATGTGGTTTTCACTGGAATAACTGTTAATCACTGCTTACTCAGCTCTGGATATAACAGATAATGAACCCCAGATACATCATAACTTTACATCATAGTCCCACTTTGCAACTGTTTGTTTGGCCTGTTGCTAGGCAACAAGGTTAAGTAGAATATTCATGCATGGAGAGGTTCTGATAAACCAATAAGACTTTGATATAGTCATGTTTTTTATAACATAGTGCACTGAGAAATATCTGTACATATACTAAAGCATTACACCCGTCTGCTATGTATTAGACTACTTCAATATAAAGGGATAAACATGAGAAACACATGAACAAATTAAAAAATGTAACAAATTACTGAAATCAAAGCAGTCTTCTGATTAGCTGCTATTTTGAAAGTTAAAAATACAGTGAGAAGTGAAATTATAGTTCACAAATCACAATATAGATAAATGATGTTAAACTAATTGTCTGTATCCTGTTTCTATAAAATGTTTGCTGCCTGGAGCAGTACTGTTATAAATAGGACAGTAATTTACATATATTTTTTTTCAAAATGCGTCACCCTATGTCCTTACCACAATGCAATGCACAACTCCATCTCTTCTATAAAAATCCAGCTAAGGAAAAAGGTTCCATTAGTTTGTCGGTTTACAAATAATCGATGAACCTAGGAGCTAGGTTGACATATAGGTAAAAGCTTAATTAAAATTATTCCT